TGAAAAGTGTCATTCAAAATGGTCTAAAAGCCTTTTTCTGATAAGTGTAGGTAATTCTGAAAGGAGGGAACCATTCAAAAGCCTCAAATTTTGTTTGATCATCTGTAAAGTACTTCCAAGATACGAATATCTGCTTTCTTTTGATACGTGGGTAATCAATTGTAGTGATTATCCATTCTATGAAGTCTATCATGACACCCACCCACAAAAGCGGAGATCATCAAATTGGAATTTGAGATTCTTTTATGTACTTGATATGTCCAAACCATTACCAATGTTTTAAGATTCATGGTCGATTTTATATAAATTGGAACCCCAATGGTTTTATTAGACTTCTTATCAAATGTTTGGTTATTGATTTGGTTATTTGAGTTTGAGTTTATAAATTAACTTTGAATAGGCTCAATACTCAAGGCATGGGTGTTGTGACGCCCCATGATGGCTAAAATAGTTATGGCATTCTCGCAAAGACTACTGCCAAGCCAAATAGAGAATGTTGGATGCATCTTATGAACCGAATATTGAGTAGAGCCGAATACCAGTTACATTGGTTACAAGGCAGAGTCGAATACCAGTTATATTGGTTACAGGTTAGAACCGAATACTAGTTATATTGGTAACTGGATAGAGCCGAATACCAGATGTCTGGTAACAGAGGAATGTAATGGGGTAGTGCCGGACACTTCCATTCCATTACGACGCCTGATTTGACTGATCATCCATCGGGAACATCGTATCGTAATAATAAAGATGGCCTTCTTACCTTGAATATTTTCTATTATATAATGTTCAATTTTTAGAGATTTACACTTAAATTGATTTCACTTTTATCGTAATGTTTCCTCTCAGTTATTTATTCCATATATGATATTTCTTGTACTATTATTTGTTCACTGGAAATTTTTGCTCAGTCGAGATTTATTTTGTTTTACATGGACAGGTTCACGATCTAACTTATGAGCAGGATGAAGGGTCGAGATGGCTTAGGATGCTAAAAGACTAGAGGTTGAATATAATGGTTTTGCTATGTTATGTAAATATGTTAGTATTATGAATTCTAATGGTTGTAATGTTATTTTTTTAGAGTTCTATTAGAGCTCCGTACTGTAAATGATAGACTTTTGATCCGTGTTCGGTTGTGACATGCCTCATCTTAAGTTTAGTAGGATGGAGTGTTATAGAAACACATAGATTTGCCGAATGAAAACACACAGATTCATGTGATGAGACCCACACTAACCATTCTATTTCACCTCATGAAATAAAACACAATTTTTATGAACAAGGCCGTCCCTGGGGGAGGGCAGCATGGGCGCATGCCCATGGCCCAAAAATCTCAGGGGCCCAAATTTTTCTCTTAAAATACAGTAGTAGTCTAAAAAAATTTAATAAAATAGAGAAACCCCAAACATTGTAGCATATAACAAGAGGCAAAAAGAATTTAGTAGATGATAAGGGCCCAAAAGTATATCAACTAATTACATTAGAGAATAAAATAAAAAAATTGATCATTCATTATATGCTATTGTTTATTGTCTCTCTAATTTTTTTTATCTCCAACAAAGTACAATGATATTGGCTATTTTGTTATCTCTATATGTTTGACTGTTTTCGTGCTTCAATAATTTAACGTTAAGATCATGTGCTTGCTATTGCTATATATTTTTGTTGGATATTTTTATCAATTTCTGCTTCTATTGACTATTGTTATTTGGWTATGTTGTTCTAATTGTTTTTATTGACTATTGTTATCTATTTTTGMTTCTACATAAACTATTTTASTATTGTTTGACAATCAATCTATTGTTCGACAATCAATTTATTGTTCTTATAATTTATGACGTGTTTCATGGTTTTGTGATTAATCAATAAATTTTTTCTACTAGATGTATTTAGTAATGTTTCTTATATATGTCATGTTCCATAAACTTTTAATCTTAACATCTTATTTTACTTGAGCAAAAACAAATAGAAAAATAGAATTTAAATATTTTCATCAATTGTTTGACTTATATATCTTTCATTGAGATTCCGCCACACCACAAGATTTTATTCAAGTGCTCAAACAATCATTTATTGAGTTTGCATATTATATGTTTAATTCATTATTTATTCTTATTGGATCTCAAATGATTATCTTTTCTTTCATATTCTTATTGATCCTCATTTGTCTATTTGTCTAGAAAACCTTGATAATCTTCTTTATTATTGATCTCCCATTGACCCTCACGATTACTTCATTCACATGAATTTTTTTTTTTTGTATCAAAATAACACATATTTCTTGTTATGAACTAAAAAAAATTCTTACTTTTTACAAAAATTTATCAACCACAGTTTATATATTCTTGGTTTCAAATTACTTAACAAGAAGTACGTAAATTTAAATACACTTATATATCTATAATAAAGATAAATAATATTTCTTTTCTCAGTAATATATCTATAATAAAGATAAATAAGATTTCTTTTCTTAGTAAATTATTAACATTTTTTGTACTCAATTTTATACCAATGAAGAACATTTATTGAATTTTTTTGTACTTATTGAGGGTCACTACAAGAAAAGTGAGTTTTGATGATGCGCCTTTTAGCAATGACATGTTTCTGCCACAAGTTATGGCAACGACATGTTGTTATATACTCTTTCTGATGAAAATGGACTTTTAGCGACGACAAAAGTCGTTCTTATAAATCTTGTTTCTTGTAGTGGGCACTATTTTTTACTTTCGTCCATGACCTATAAAATATCAGGAACGGGCCTGTTTATGAATATATGTTATTTCACCCCAAGAAATTCAAACATAATGTTGATATATATATATATATATATATATATATATATGTTATTTCTACCAATGAAATCAAACATAACTTTGAAAAACAAAAACTCCAAATCTAAGATTTGATACTCAAATGAAACCCGAACGTACCATAATTTTTAATCTCACAAAATTAGCAGCTATGATGAATCAATTAAAGAAGTTCTTTAAAACAGTAACCAAGCATCGATGGTGGTGGTTGAAATACATCTACAAAAAGAAACTTAATTCTCAAAAGAAGCCTCAATGAAGAAATAAATCAAGAAAAAAATCTGAATCAATAGAAAAAGACAACCATTTCGATCTCAATCTAACGACGTTCTCAATGGATTGGGAGGAGATCGACGAAGGGAGCACCAGAGCTTTAATCTGACGCCGTTCACAATATAGAAACTCAGATCAATGAAGGGAGCAGTAGATATTAACATCGCCTTGGGGAGAGGTCGTGCCCTCTGTTTGAGATTAGTATCTTCTCCATCATCTCTTCCGGAACATCTGGCAACAAACTCCATTTCACACACTTCATATAGTCGTCGGCACGTAAACCTATCTCCGGCGAGTCTTGGTAGCGGAGGAATTTAGTAGAGGTGGAGGCGGTGTTGGGAAGAGGAGTTGTAATCGGAGGCAAAGAGGTAGAGGAGAGGGAGTCAAGAGTGGCATAGTAAGATAGGTAGATGGCATTGGCGCTTGAGCGATTGGAGATGAGACAAGGGTATCCGAGCATACGGCGGTGGAAGAAGAGTTCGAGGAGTGAAGGATCAGTGCGAAACCATGACTGTGATCGGTTGTGGGTTTTGGAGGAGCGTATATTTGAAATGTCAATTACAATTTTGCCTTTGGATATGTGAGATTAGAAGTGAGATCAGGTAGATGTTAATTACAAAAGTATCACTATGTTTAATAACCCTTGGTTAAAGCACTTGAATGAATCTCATCTAAGGATATCTGTTTAAGTAGAATTTGTTAAAAATAGAATGTTATTTAAATCTATAAAGTACCCAATTGATGAATCATTAACATCCCAATTGATTCCCTCTAAAAGATGAGGGAGCTGATTGGATGAAGAGGAGTCCCAATTTTACCATCCATTTATGTCTAACAGAAGACATATATATGTAATAAATTAAAATATAATATCAAAGAATGTAGGACAAAAGATGAAGTAATATAGTAGATGTTGTCATAGCTTGAATCAAATTATAAACCAACACACACCCAACAACATGACGTTGTTAATTTAGCTTAAAAGGGTCTCTCGTTATTGATCTTCGTTTGAATCAAGGATTTGGTGCCATATATATAAGAGTCTCGACATAATATTGTGGAAGACTTGTCTAATATTCGATTGAAAGGGTGTTTTTGGATCAAAATCTTGATCAATTTTGAAACCACTCATCACTTTATTTCATTCATAAGTAAGCAAAATCACACATGACCTTTAGAAAGATGTCTTTCTATGGACCAAACCACAAACCCTAGTGGTGAACAGCAATGGTAGCTTCTCGATCAGGAGCATATATGTTTACCAGATTTAGATGTTAGATCTAACTTCTTCAAAAAAGATTACCCTCACTTGTTACTCCTCCTGACTTTAAATAAATATCCATATGATGCTTTAACTCAATTAAATTATAATTATACCATTAGTAATAAAGTGATCGAATTTTTTCATCTAAGAATTAATGGTAGAATTAGAAAGTAAACAATTATTTTGAGTAGGGAGATGGAAGAAGTATTCTTTTTCACTCTTTTGATGCCAATCTTGGAAGGGCAAAGTTCCTATATGTTCAACCGATCCAAATTATATAGTCAGATCTATATATGTATATGTATATATATATAGGTATGTTCAACATCTACGTACAGTGAACCATAATCACTTCAAAGGATATAACATCTATCTATCTATATATGTATGGACCTTGTTTGTTTCCACATATGAGCATGCATCTAACTTCAAACAATATGTCATTCACGAGGAAGGAAAATGATACAGAAAACAAGAAGAAAAGATGAATTGTAATTAATACAAATAGTTAGATGTGCTACAAATACTACTGTAGTTCTTGTTACATAAAGAAGAACTGATAAATTAAACCTGCATGCATTCCTTTCTAATTCAATGTTATAACCAATACATGATGCATGGAATTGGAACTGGAATTGGAATGGATGGTGCTACTTGAATCTTTTTCCTTTACTTGAGTTCCCCTTCACCGGGATTATCCGAATTCTCCTTGCCACCCTTATGAAGTCCCTACATATACATTCATTCATATATAATAGTATATATATATATATATATATATATATATACATGACAACCTTAATTTTATTTCTTTTAATCTACTTTCCATTGTTAATTTGGTATTCATTGATTCCATTTTCCAATCAAGAACTCATAACATCATATGCCTCTTTGAGGTTGAATCAATGTTCTTTTCCATGAAAAATGGGACCAGTATTGCTGAATACAAGTTTATTCGAAATGAACATATATACGGATAGATTATAAATAAATAAATAAATAAAACTTACTTCCAGTTAAGATCACCAGCTAGGAGAAGATCGTTTTCCAAGTCTTGATAAGCAATAATGTGTCCTGGTACTGCATTTGAAAGATCAATTACTCCTTTTTCATCATCATTGTCGTTGCAACTGTCATCAACCAGCATGTAGCGGAGAGCCTTGGCTAAGCTGTTATAGCCGTCGTGATTGTGAAGGTTGATCCGGTGGCAGATTGAACGTCCCTCCACCACAACCGTCACTGCCGGAATCACTCCGGCTATCAAATCATCTTCCTCTTTTAGAAACTTATGAATTGGTGGCGCAGGAGGAGGAGGAGGAGAAGAAAGAAACATGTTGACGTAGGGTTGGGACATGAGTCTTCTCTGGTGCTCCTGCAACCACCGTCTCTTCATCATGCTTAAGGACCCATTTTGATCACCACTGTTCATGCTTCTCTCTTTAGATCTCTCTCTCTCCCCTCTTTCTCTCTCTCTATATATATATGTATATATATATATATGAAGAAGAAGAAGAATAGTTAAGTTGGTTTGATGAGAAGCTGGTAAATACAGAAACAGTGTGTGTTTGTGTGTGAAAGAGATGAGATGAGTATAAGCTACGTACATGTTTATATCCATCACTTGAACCAATGCATCCTCTTTGTTCCCAAACTATAATTACGACCCGTTTTAAAATACGTGTAACATTTTTTTGCTAATATTTATCTGAATAAATTGTTTATTTTATCTGTAATAGTACTATGTTTTAGTACGATATTTTTTTTTTATTAACATAGATATTCAATCCCCTATGTACCTTATGTGAGCCGACTAATTCTAGGACGACCACCTGTTTTGCAGATAGTCCGGAGTCATCGTATTTGAACCTCCGTGTTCACAAGGGGATTTTTATTCCTCCTTAGATTTGAACCTGGGACGTCCAGGTATTTTTGACCTTTGAAGTCAAGCTCAAACCAATCAGACACCACATTTGTGGTTAATACAGTCATTTTGGTCCATATACTACAATAAAACTGGATTTATAATACATTTAAAATATTTTAATGTCTTATCATAGCGCTTAAGTTTTTATTGTTAAACTATAAAATATCTTATTTAAAAGTGTTATAATTGATTTATGGGATATTTTTAAACGTTTTAACAAGACTCTTAGGAAGTTTTTTTAAATAGTGTTGTCATTTCACACATTTTATAAGTATCCTATAAACCCAATTTTTTTTAATGATATTCATGTTTATTGGACATTTTACTTTAAATCACTACTAGAAAACTGGGCATTTCCGGCGCAATTTCCGGCGGAACTTTTCCGCCGGTAAATTTCCGGCGGATTTCTGGCGGTCTTCAAAAAAGTCAACTTTTATTGACTTCCACCGGAAAACCGCCAGAAACCCGGCGAAAATATTAAACTAATTGTACTTCCGGCGGATTTCTGGCGGAATTCTTAATTAACCTTTTAAAATTAATTGATCTTTTTAAAAAAAAAAAAAAAAAAGAATTTTCTAAAAACATTTCCGGCGGATTTCCGGCGGAAATTTTTTTTTTTCTTTTTAATATTCCGCCGGAAATATTTTTAGAAAATTATTTTTTATTTTTTTTTTAAAGGTAAACTTTTTCCGACGGATTTCCGGCGGCAAATTAAAAAAATTCAAAACAATAATTCCGTCAGAAGTCCGCCGAAAATGTTTTTAGGAATTTCATTTTTAATATTTTTAAAGATTAATCTTTTAAGAATTTTCGGCGAAAAAATAATAATTTATTTAAAAAATAAATCTGCCGGAAATCCGTCGGAAAAATAAAATTAAAAATTAAATCTTTTAATATTTCCGGCGGATTTCCGGTGAAAAAATAATAAAAAGATTTAAAAAAATAAGGAAAATATCATTTTAAAAAATTAAAAATTAAATCTTTTAACCGTATTAGACATTAATTAATGAATCGTATTGGGCTTTAACGAACCGTATTGAACCTTAATGGATCGTATTGGACATTAATGAATCGTATTGGGCTTTAACAGACCGTATTTGCTTTAACGGACTGTAATGGGCTTTAACGGACCGTATTGGGCCTTAATGGATCGTATTTGTTTTAATGGACCGTAT